AGGTAGGAAAGTTCATGAGATACATCTCCAATTAACCACCAGAATACTGGATGTGAAGCTGGGGCTCAAAGTGGTAGAACGCCAGTCTTGAGCAAAAGCGCTCAGTGACAGTGCCCAGGCCCTGAGTTCAAGCCCCACAACTAACAAAAAAAAAAAAAACCAAGGTGAGTAATAGCCTAAATCAGAGATTCTCTTCTGGTGACATAGTACCATACATTACGAATAATAGCTTATGGCAAGTACTGGATTAAAACATTTTTTTTGGGGGGGGAGTCCGGTCGTGGGGCCTGAACTCTGGGCCTGGGCACTGTCCCTCAGCTCTTCAGCTCAAGGCCAGCGCTCTACCCCTTGAGCCACAGCGCCACTTCCGGCTTTTTTCTTTTTGCTTATGTGGTGCTGAGGAATCGAACTCAGGGCCTCAGGCATGCAAGGCAAGCACTCTACCACTGAGCCACCTTCCCAGCCCTAAAACATTTTTCTAAGACTGGGACAGGGACATTGGTGAAGCCCCAGACCCTGAGTTCAAACCTTAGTACTGCCTTTTTTTTTTTTTTTTTTTTTTTGGAGGGGGAACAGGCCTGGGGCTTGAACTCAGGGCCTGAGCACTGTCTCTGAGCTTCTTTTGCTTAAGGCTAGCACTCTAACACTTAAGCCACAGCACCACTTCTGGCTTTTTCTGTTTATGTAGTAGTACTGAGGAATTGAACCCAGGGCTTCATGCATGCTAGGGAAGCTCTACCACTGAGCTACATCAACAGCCCCCCAAAAACTTTTTAATAAAACGTAAGAAAGAACAGGATTCTGATGATAAAACATTTGGTTTCACTTCAGGGAATAACCAATTTGAGAGCAATGTCCTAGAGGTGATCAGTGAAGAGTTCTGACATCTGGGGCTTACAACTGCACTAACAGACACAGCTGAAATGGCACTAATGAAAATTGCTTTAGTGAAACTACTCTGGACTAAAGAAATGAGTAAAAGTAGAAACTCTTAAGAGACAAAGCATAATGTGATCAAGAACTTGATACTGTAGAGGGAAGGAAGGGCCAAAAATATGCTACTGGTAAATAAAGGAAGATAATAACATTAAGTCTGGGTACTTTTTAGGAGAGAAAGCTTGTCAGCAGAAGATTTTCTAAGTACAGAAAATTGTCCACAGAGGCACCTGCAGAAGTCACTGGACCAAACAGATGGACAAGGTCAAGCAAGAGGAGATTGGTAATCATCATTTCAAAGAGTCCAAATACAGATATGGCTGATCAAGCACCAAAGTTGCCTCAAGAAACACAGCACAGACTGGGAATGTGGCTTAGTGGTGGGATGCTTGCCGAGCATGCATGAAGCCCTGGGTTCCATTCCTAAGTACCACATAAACAGAAAAAACTAGAAGTGACACTGTGGCTCAAGTGGTAGAGTACTAGCTTGAGCATAAAGAAGCTCAGGGATAGTGCCCAGGCCCTGAGCCCCAGGACTTGGGGGTAAGGAAGGAGAGACAAGCATAAAGGCTTATGGGATATACACAGAAGGAAAATGTTAAAACTTCAAACATCAAATATGCAAATATTTGACAAATATTTATTAGGGCCTACAATTTGTTTGGCAGTATCCTAGGTGTTAGGAGTAAAAAGGTGACCATGCCAGACTTCCTGGCTTCCTGGAACTTACATTCTAATAGAGGAAACTCACAACAAATATTTTACAAATAGAACACTGTAAAGGCATTATCCTCAAAGCTTAGACTGGATGGAGCACTTTAACACAGGAATATATAGAGCTATTTATGAGAGACAAGTAAACACAATTTAACTTTTCCTGTCCTTCAGAAAAAGTCCTGCAGCCTAAAGTGATTAAATTGTTCAGAGAGAGGGGTGGGGGGGAAAGAGGAGAAGAGAGGGGAGGGGATGGGAAGGGAATGGAGGAGAGGGGAGGGAAGGGGAGGGGAGGAGAGAAGAGAAGGAGAAGAGGAAGAGAAGAGAGGGAGGGAGAGAGAGGGAGGGAAGGGGGAGGGAGAGAGAGGGAGGGAAGGGGGAGGGAGGAAGGGAGAAGGAAGGCAGAAAGGCAGGACAGGAAGGCAGAAAGGAGGGAGGAAGGAAGGCAGGCAGGCTCTACAACATTAGAGAAATACATTTCTTTTTCTTCTCTTCTCACTAAGCACCCAGACTGGTCTGTAACTCACTGTCCTCCTGCCTCAGGCTGCTGAATGTGCTGGGATTACTGCCATGAGCCACTGTTATATCTAAAAATAAAAATACAAGCCGGGCACCAGTGGCTCACACTTATAAGTCTACAGACTCAGGAAGCTAAGATCTGAGGATTGCAGTTCAGAGCTAGCCAGGGCAAGAAAGTCTATTAGAAACTCTTATCTCCAATTAACCACCAAAAAGCTGGAAATGGAGGGGTGTTAGTGGTACACTACTAGACTTGAGCAAAAAAAAAAACTCAGGGACAGCACCCATCCCTTAAATTCCAGCCCTAGGAATGAGGCTTAAATAAATGCACAATTTAACTTCTACTTTAAAAAAAAATGTTTATACTATTTCTCAGAGAAGCAAAGTAAATTATACTTCAAAGTTTTCCAGCTATTGGAGCAAAAAAAAAAAAATTGTATTAATAGACCTTTTTGTTGTTTTTTGTCAGTCCTGGGACTTGAACTCAGCCTAGTCACTGTCCCTGGGCTTCTTTTGCTCTACCACTTGAGTCATAGCACCACTTGTGACTTTTTCTGTTTAGGTGGTACTGAGGAGTCATACCAGTGCATGCTAGGGAAGCACTCTACCACCAAGCCATATTCCCAGTCCCATCATTGCACCTATCTTAAAAATAACTACCAAGCTTTTCTGACAGACCATGAAAAAAAATCTTGAGATTAGCAAAAACTTAAGAGTTGGTCCTAGTGGATCTCACTGGTCATTAAAATGATTTACTACTCTACGCTATAACACCTGGCCTGGATTCCTAATATCAAATTTTCTAAGTACAAATATCTTTCCTAACATTAAAAGGTTTTAAGAGCTTTAACAGAGGATGTACTTGGAGATTTTGAAGAAATTACTGGAAAAGAGCTCATTGTAATACCAATCTCTTATTTTCTGTCTGAAGTCTAAACACTGTAAGTTCAAGCTATTGTATTTTAAAAGATACAAATTGGAGTATGTAGAAACTCTTAAATATGGATGACAAAAAAAATGTCAGTATATAAGTAACCCAAATTTACATTCCTAAAATAAGACACCACATTAAGACTAACAAATTTGTTTCACAAGATTCAGGATCCACCCCTATCCAATGGTCTGTTAACACCTAAACTTTACAGAAGACTAATTTGAATCTACCACTCACGTTAGCTGATCTCTACAAAAATGAGCAACAGTAGGATAATGCCTGTCCCAATATGAGCCATCTTTGTGACAGTACATCCATTATATACAACTCGATCTCATCTGGTTTAGTGTTAGTATCTTTGTATGCTACTAGACCCTAGTCAAAGAGATACAGAATTTTGGATGCACCAAGCATTCTAAGAAACAAAAATTGTGATTTCAAAAGCCTAAAAATATTGTTTTCGGTTAAAAATATCAAAGTAGATTTTAATGACAAACTGAAAAGAATATTTTAGGATGCAACTCTTAACTAGCAAAGAATAAGCAGAAAAATAACACAGCTTTGCCACAGAGAACTTGAGTCAACTTAGGCAGACTGTTTTCATCAAGTAAGCCATAGAGGAAAAGTCAATCAAGGAACGTCATTTTGGATCAAAACATTGCTCTCACAAATAAGTTCCTTCTGTCAAGGTAGACCTTTCAACTTAATGCCTACGTGAGGCCCTCGCACAAACCTAACCCTGAGATGTTAAGACTTTGCTGTATTGGCGATGCATGTGAGGCAGTCACTAACACAGCAGGTGACATTTCAAAAAAAAAATCATCTCTGCAAGCGACGTGATGGGAAGCTAGCAGGCAGAGACCCACGAAGCCGGCGAGCCGCTGTCTTAATTTGCTAAGTCTCTGACTTGTAGGAGTTAAAACTCTCCCCCCCTTACACTGCTATGACGTAATGCTCCACACTCCATGTCTCTTGGACTTAAAGGGGAGGGTGGGGGGAAAAAAAGAAAAAAGAAAGCGAACAAAGAAAATTTCCTCCTAGTAAGAGGAATTAAACCAGCGGCCTCGCCGTGGCCTCCAGGGGGAGGGTCGAGAACTCCCCGCCTGGGAACCGCAGCCGGTAGGCCGGGGCAGAGTTTGGAGGGAGAAGCGGGTGGCAGCACCGGGAAGTCGACTCCGGGCGGAGATCGGGAGTCCGGAGCCGCGGGGCGCAGGCGGGCCTCCGGGCCGAGGGCGAGGCGCCGGACTGCGGCGGCGGAGGGGCGCGTGGCGGGCCGGACCGGGGCAGCCGGCGCGAGCCCCCGCCCCACCGAGACCGCAATTCCGCTCCCCTCCCCCGCCCGCCGCAAAATGTCCGCGGCGGCGCCGGGCGAAGCAGGAAGTTCAAGCCCAGAAGCAAGAGGCTGAAGCCGGCCTCCGACACCAGAGGCCCGAGCTGATCCTCCAGGCGGTCGCAAGCGGCTCTGTGGACTCCCGGTCCCCAAGTCCCGGCCCGGCCGCCCCGGAGCCCGCGGCCGGCCGGAGGGGGAGGGGAGCCGGCGGCGACGGGATGGGTGTGACCCCTTCCTTCCGCTGCCGCTCGGTGACAGCCCGGCCCGGCCGCGCCTTCGGCCGGCACCCGGAGTCGCGACTGCGCTCCTCCGGCCGGCAGGGCGGCCCGGAGCCCCCCGCGGCCCCGCCGCGAGCCCGCCTCGGGCTTCTCAGAACCCGGACCGGCGCGAGCCCAGCCGCGGTCAGACGCGAGCTCCGAGTGTCCTCCGCCCGCCTCGGTGCTCTCAAGCCCCGGGCCTGCGGAGACCAGAGCGCCTTCGAGGGCCAAGACAAGCAGGGGACCGCGCGGCGGGAACGCAACGGCGAGGATAGCCGCTCCCGCGGGGAGCCTCGGGCCCCGCACTCACCTCAGCTTCTCCGCCGGGGCGTTGGCAGCACTGCGCGGGGTCTCCTCGCCTGCCGGACAGGGGCACGCACCTGACGTCAGCACGCAAGAGACGCACGGTTGGGCGCCCGCGGAAGTAGGAGGGACCATGAGAAAGACAGGACTGGGACTGGGCGGAGGTTAATGCTGGCTCCGCCCACCCACCGCGCACGCGCTGGACTGCAAGTTTTGCACTCTTGGGTTTGCGCTCATCCCCAGCTTCCCCCGGCTCCTTTTGTAATTGACTCTGAATCAGGATATGCACCGAATCGTCACGAACGTTTATTTATTTATTTTTATTATCTTAACTAGTTGTACAAAGGAGTTACCGTTTAACAAGCAGTCTATGAATACTGTGCATCTTGGTCAATGTCACCGTTTTCAACATTCTCATCTATCCTTCCCAACCTACCCTTTCCCTCGCTTTTCTTAGGATTTTGTAGGCTATCCATTGAATTCTTGACCGCATTCTCTTTCCTTCTCTGCATTAGTCTGCCCATCTACCCTTGACTCCACCCCACTCCACCAGTTTCCTGTGGGGTTTTTTTGCTTGTTTTTGCCAGTCCTTGGGTTTGAACTCAGGGGCCTGGGTAACAGTCTACCACTTGAGCCACAGCGCTACTTTGGGCTTTTTCTGTCTTTGTGGTGTTGAGGAATCCAAACCCAGGGCTTCATGTGTGGTAGGCAAACACTCCATCACTAAGCCACATTCCCAGTCCCTGGTGTTTATTTTGAACTTTGACTTGCCTTTCTAAAGAATTGTATGATTTGTGTTCTCCCTTAAATTTGATATCACCCATTGGATTTACTGTTTATTGTTTTATTTTGGTTCCTTGTGAAGGAAAAGTATCATTGGGGGTCTTGTTTGGGGAGAGGGTTTGTTTTTTGTTTTTGTTTTGCCAATCCTAGGGCTTGAACTCAGGGCCTAGGCACTGACCCTGAGCTTCTAGTGCCCAAGGCTAGCACTCTACCACTTGAGCCACAGCACCACTTCTGGCTTTTCCTGTTTATGTGGTACTGAGAAATCAAACCCAGGGCTTCATATATGCTAGGCAAGCACTCTACCACTAAGCCACATTCCCAGCCCTGGAAGTTTTATTTTGTTGTTGCTTGTTTGTTTGTTGTTGCTTCTCAAAAACAAGTCAATCCTGACTGAGGAGGTCATACTGCAAGAGTATGCCCTGTTTTCAGGTGGTGGGCCCAAGAGCTAAATACCACTCTTCTCATCTCAGCACCCCTGACCACACAGATTTTCTTTGGAATTATAGACTTGATTTCCACCACCAGGTCTTGTTTCGATGGTCTGAACCTTTCATTGTTGCCTCCCAGCCCTCAAATATCACTGCCTTCCCACAATATGCTAACGTCTAAGTTCACAACACCTGCTTATTAGCTCTTCCATGCTAGTGTGCTACTGTGCTTCAGAGAATAGGGATCTTCCCTGTCTTAATCTCTGTTTTCTAATGTCAGAGAAAAGTAGCTTATCTTAAATCAGTTCACTTATGGCTGGAAATATGGCTCAGTGGTGTGGAGCCCAGAGTTCAGATCCCAATAATATGAAAAAATTACAATAGTTTACTTATGGATTACTGCCACTCTTTATGTGTGAGGCTTAACTTTTCACTCAAGGCAGGTACTGGACCATTTGAACCACAGCTCCACTTCTGGCATTTTGCTTCTTAATTGGCAAGAAGAGTCAAATGGAGTTTTCTGCCTCAGCTAGCTTTGAACCACAGTCCTCAGATCTCAGCCTCCTGAGTAGCTAGCCCCAGCTGTGAGACAAGGAGAGTTCATGGTCCAGAGTTCAGCCTCAAAGTGGAAGAGCAGGGAGAAGGTAGAAGTGCAAGGCCTTGAGCTCAAGCCCCAGTGCCACCACAAAAATAAATAAAGTTGCTTTTTTTGCCAAACCACTTTTTCTTTTCTTTTTAGGGTATTTTTCAGAGAGGATCAGCCTTAGATCACTATCCTTATATTTATGTCCACTACAAATACAAGTATGCACCACCACCAGGTCTGTTGAAATGAGGTCAAGCTAACTCTTTGCCTGGGCTAGCCTCAAACCCATGTCAACCTCACAAATAGCTGGAATTACATGCATGTACCACCATACCTGACTAACTACATTTTTGAGTGTTTACTAAGGGCAGAGTGCTACAGTAACTAATTTAGTATTGCCACCTTCTTACTTAAGAATTATTACTCTCTCTCTTGGGCTGGGAATTTGGCTTAGTGGTAGAGTGATCACCAAGCACGCATGAAGTTTTGCGTTCAATTCCTCCGTACCACATAAACAGAAAAGGCCACAAGTGGCGCTATAGCTCAAGTGGTAGACTGCTAGCCTTGAGCAACAGCTCAAGGCCCAGGCCTCAAGATCAAGCCCCAGGACTGCCAAAAAAAAAAAAACTATTACTTCATTTTATAGTTGCTTAGAGGTATTAAGGGACTGGTCTGAGGCCACCAAACCAGATAGTAGCAAAGCTGGGACTTATACTCAGGAAACTGGCTATAGTTGTCCACTACAATATCATACTACCTAGTAAGTTTATTTAAAAGAAACCATGAGAAATGAGAAATGTTTAAGAGAATCAGTCCTAGTGCTACCCTTAATGAACTGTAAACATTTTGTGCACATCTTTCCAGACTTTTTCCTATGGAGATACACATTTAGATAGAAAAAATAAGGCTATAATCTACTTTTCTCTCTTAGAACTATATAGTGGTCTGGTGTGGTATGTCAAGCCTGTAATCCTAGTTATGAAAGGCAGAGATTGTAGGATCATGGTTTGAGGCTAGCCTAACAAATAGCTGGTCAGTGGTGTGTTTCTTTCATCCCCAGAAACATCAGAAAACTGCAAAAGTAGGATCTCATAAAGCAAAATTCTGCCATGCCTATTCTGTTGCTGAACCTGTGGAAAGATTCCCAGTTTCAGAAGGACATGGGGCAAGTTCACCAAGAGGGGGGAAAACAAAAAGACAACCTTACTCCCAGAGTGATTTTTGGGGGGGGGCATTTACCTAAAGCACTTTATGAAAATCAGATTCTGGTTTATTTGGCACTATTACAAGATTCAAACTACCCAGAAGTAAAAGGACTGGAAGTAGCAGAGGCTATGCTTTTAGTGGAATTCAACTACCTTTGTGGTGGTAAAATTCTAGTGTGTCATTTTGTGCCACCAGAAAAAGTAAGTGGAGAACTTTTTTTTTTTTTTTTGTCAGTTGTGGGGCTTGAACTCTGGGCCTGGGCGCTGTCCCTCAGCTCTTCACCTCAAGGCTAGCACTCTACCACTTGAGCTATAGCGCCACTTCCAGTTTTTCTGGTGGTTTATTCGAGATAGGAGTCTCACGGTCTCTCCTGCCCGGGCTGGCTTTGAACCGCGATCCTCAGATCTCAGCCTCCTGAGTAGCTAGGATTACAGGCGTGAGCCACCAGCGCCCGGCAGTGGAGAACTTTTTGAAGAATGGAATGTTCCATTTTGTTATCCCACATATCCAGCAGTGAAGTGCTATAATCAGGACAGGAATTTTGTACAAAAGATACAGATAGAGATGCAATTTAAAAGGAAAGAAAACTGGGCTGGGAAGGTGGCTCAGTGGTAGAGCACTTGCCTTGCATGCCTGAGGCCCTGGGTTCGATTCCTCAGTACCACATAAGCAAAAAGAAAAAAGCCAGAAGTGGCGCTGTGGCTCAAGTGGTAGAGTGCTAGCCTTGAGCTGAAGAGCTGAGGGAGAGCACCCAGGCCCAGAGTTCAGGCCCCACAACTGGACCAAAAAAAAAGGAAAGAAAACTTAGGAAGAAATTAGTGGCAAAAGGAAATGATTATAGTTTTTCTCCATTGGCTATATCTAAATGAAAGAGTTCAACCATGCCTAAGGAGGAGAAAAAAAAATTGCTTCAGAAAGCACCCCCTGAGAAGTATATGGATAGCCAGGGCCCCACCCCAGTTTATACACCAACATTTTTGGAGAAATGAAAATTAGAAATGGCTGAACTGAGTGATAAAGATGATGAAATAATTTTTAAATAGCCTGTGTCCAGTGTGAATGAAGAAATAAAAGAGATTCCAACCCCTACATGATTTGGGGGAATGGAGGCAGGGGAGCAGTGGGGGGAGAGATAGATGAAGAGAAAGAAAAAGCAATCCATGATTCTGAGTGCATTATGCGTAGCATGTCTTATTATAAGGGCTGACTGTTTTATATGATGTACAGTGAAATGCAACTATTCATGAGAGTTTGGGAGCAAAAAAGATAACTTCATGTCTGTAAAAAAAAAAAAGTCAGTAGTTTGACTAATCTGCACTGTGGAACTATAGGGGTGCATTCTAGCCTGCAGGAGTGGGTCACACTTTGCCTGTCCAGGTCTCTTCTTTCTGACCACACAGCTCCCTTAGCTGACTCTGCACAGAGGGATCACTGGTAACTTGAAGTGCAAGAATAAACCGCAGCCCCACCCTTCTTTTTCTTTTTCTTGCCTGTCCTGGGGCTTGAACTCAGGCCTGGATACTGTCCCTGAGCTTCTTTGCTCACGGCTAGCACTCTACCCCTTGAGCCTCAGTGCCACTTCTGGCTTTTTCTGTTTATATGGTATTGAGAAATTGAACCCAGGGCTTTATGCTAGGCAAGTGCGTGCTAAGCAAGCACTCTACCACTAAGCCATATTCCCAGACCATAAACTACATCCCTCTACTATATAAATTACATCTGAGGAGGTGCCTGACTATCTTCATGGGCTGCCCATCTCTTACCCCAAAACATTTCAAACTCCCCACATCTAGTAGCTAAAGAGAAATGAAATTACATGGAGAATATGAAGAGAGTTCAAGGGTTAAAACAAATTCAGAAATGCAATATTTTCACCAAAAATGTTAGTTTCTGGTAGGCTAGCATGAATCTGATATTTCCATTCTGAGTCATCGATAGAATTCGAGATTCAATAAACAGCAAATAAAGTTGTTTTGTTTTTTTTTTACAAATTATTTTTGTAGAACATGTTTAATAAACATGTGATTATTAAAATATGGGAAATAGGGAACTTTCACTAAGTTTTTTTTTTTTTTTTTGTCGGTCGTGGGGCTTGAACTCTGGGCCTGGGCGTTGT